ATCTCCTAAAACAGATGACAGCAATAAAGAGCAAGCTACCTATCATTTCTATCTTAGCTCACTGTTGTCATTTTGGTATCACTGCCTTTCCTTCCTAAAACTGAGAACTGCATCTGCCACCACCTTCTTTGTTGTATGGCTCATTCTTCCCTAACTGAAAACCCAAATGCATTGCCTGCAAATTACTTTTGTCTCATCGTGGCCCCTCAGGACAGAGTACAACTATTGCATAGTGTTTACAATGTTGTAAATCTTCACAGAAGGAGACTGGAACATCTTTAGCCTGCCTCGATGCTGGTGGATTCAGCTGTAAATTTTTGCTTGCAGACAAGCCCAAGGCTCTTTTTGGTTCTGGGATAAGGCTTGCCAATGCAAAGTACTTGCCTGAGAACCAGAAGGTGAAAATACAGAAAAGCCATCATTCTTCAAAAATCTTTCATTTAGATTCTTATTTAGATGAAAACGTATTTGTTGCTTTCCAGAAAATTTAGAGATTCACCCTTTTGTCTCAGATGGTTAGTAATCATGTTTTTTAAGATTCTCAAGCCCTGTAGAATAACCCCATCAGCAAGGACTGCATGGGCTTACTTGTGCTTGTTGTTGTTATGCGTTGTCGAGTCACTTGCAACTCATAGTGACCCTATATATACCACAGCTCTGAACTCTGCTTTTTTTTTCTGAACTTTTCCTGAATTTTTATTCTGAATGAGTTATTGCAAACTGAATAGTGAAACCATTTTTTATTTGGGTAAAGGGAAAGTCCCTGCTCTAACTTAAGCCAATTTCACTGTCCCTGACACACCTACTTTCATTACCCTACTCACTGAGTCAATCCATCTCATGAAGGATCTTCCTCTCTTGAGCTGTCCCTCCATCTTTCCAAGCCTGTCTCTCTCCAAGAACTGGTCCCTCCTGGCAATATACCCAAAGTAAGTCAGACAAAGCTTCAAAATCCTTGCAAGGAGCAGCCTGGTTTCACCCTCTGCAGGACAAATCTGTTTGTTCTCTTAGCAGTCCATGGTGTATTCACTACACCATGTGGTGCTCTTCTCCAGCACCACAACTAAAAGGCATTGATTCTTCTCCTGTCATCCTTAATCATTGTCCGGTTGTTTGATGCACAGCAAGTAATTGTGAAGACCAAGGCTTGGACCAGGTGCTCTCTAGTCTCTAGACTGACATCGCTGTATTCAGTTCTCTGGAGAGGTCTTTGACAGCAGATTTCCCCAATGCAATTTATCTTTTGATATGCTGACTTCTGGTACCAAGAGTGTTGTTTGTGGAACCAAGCTTACTGATTGACTAATTAATCTGTAGTGAACACAGTTTGTTTTCACAATGAAGATTCTGCTTTCTGGTATGACTGGCATCTGTATCTTTTCTAATGCACAGCACCTTCCTTCAGAATCAAATCCTCCTTTCAAAACTATAATCCGTGCTAGGGACTGAGTAACAATGCAGCAGCTGGTGGGTTTGAACCATGTGCCTTTGCATTGATAGCATGACGTCTTATCATAAAGCCACCAAAACTCCCTAAACAAAGTAAACAAGAGCCTAATTTGCCTTATTTACGAATTCATAGTGAAGAGTTTCACATATTTGATATGGTGAAGCCTTGGTGAAATTGATAACTGCTGATTAGTTAAGTAAGCACAAGTCAACTCCTATTAACTTTCTTATTAGGTAACCTGTCCTTGTTCTCAAGTATTTGAGAACTCTAGGAAAGCTTTGAAAAGCACCTGTTTGGTGCTTCCTGTCAAGGCTTTCAGTATGAATCTGTCTGCCCTTCAGCAACCTCTGCCTTCCCAGCCCTACTCCAAGTCTTCAAGTGCCCAATAAATGTCAAATTCTGTGTTAAACCCCTAATATATGGAACATATCAAGTGATTTGTTGTGCTGGCTGATTCCTGTAAAAAGAGACAAAGTCACAGGAAGGATGGGAAAGATTTTGAATTATTAAATATTTTAAGTGATTGGAATAGTTGATGTATCTATTCAATGTACAAATATCAAATCACATTTCAGAGTCACAATTAAATATTCTTTTTTTTCTTTCTCTTCAGGTCTTTTGTTCATAGGGTGAAGGTAGTGTGTCAGAGATAATGAAATTGGCTCAAGATAGAGCAGAGTTCAGAGCTGTTGTACATGGGGTTGCTATGAGTTCAGGCAACTAGACAGCACATAACAACAGCAAAATGACAAACAGATGTCTTGGAGAAGGTGCAATCAGAATGCTCCTGGAGGTGAAGATGATTCAACTTTGCCTTACATACTTTAAGTACATTGCTAGGAGAGACTATTCATTGGAAAGTAACACCATGCTTGGGAAGGTGGATGGATGATTAAAGAAAGGAAGACCCTCAACAAGGTGAATTGACACAGTGTCTGCATCAGTGGGCTTGAGTGTGTCAGCGATTGTGGACAGCACAGGATCGGACAGGATTCAGATCTGTTGTTCACAGAGATTCTATGTATGTGTCATATTCAACTCGCTGGCACTTAACAACAACAATAGTGAAAACAGAGGGGCCATCCTTGGAAAAAGGCATCATTCTGGAAAAGAAAAAGGAAAGAGGATGACCTTGAACTAAATGGATTGACTGTAACAACTGCATGACAGAGATCGTGAGGCTGTCACAGAACAGGACGTGGTTCTGATCTGTTACTCATAGGGTCACTATGAGGAATAGTCAACTCGATGACGCCTAACAACAATAACAACACTGACAATTTTTATATTAGTTTCTACAGTCTTTAAAAAAATTCTCTTCTTAAGCCACATGCTTGTCATTTGTATGCTTGATTTCACTCAACGGTGTTTCACCTGCAGTAAGAAGATTATCAATTTTAAGTAAATACGATGAAATCATTTTAATCCCTAATCATAATTTTCTGCCTCCTTTTCTTTCCCGTAATACATAAGGTTCTTTAGGCTCTATGTTTGCTACTAAAGACTCAATAAAACTTTTATAAAATTAGGATCTAGTAAAGTGCTATCTGAAGAACAAAGAAGTGCTACTGAAGGGAACTTAAAGTGATCCCTTATAGCATTTTGACAAAGAGTTACATTATAGAAACCTCCAATTCCAATAAAACCAATTACATTTTTTTCCAATATCCTTCAGGGAGAGACTATATTCATAACATATTGCAACATTTCTCTCAAACTCCTTTTCTTATCCTTCTCTTCCCCTGCCTCTCTCTACTTCTCAATTCATTATAATAATAACAGCACACTCGTACACAATGCTTAATATAAGCTAGACTCTATTCTAGGCACTTCATACATATTAACCTACTTAATCCTTGCAAAACCTCATTAGGTGCAAATATTAACCCTGCATCACAGATGAGAAAACTGAGGTCACCAAGAGAAGATAAGAAATGGTCCACGGTAGGTGTATCAGGCAGATAAGCAAGCCTATGATGTTTCTGCAAACTTTTTATCTGTTTGCCTTCTTTAGTAAGGCAGCTCTAATGGCCGATTGGTAAAGAGCAGGGCTGCCAATCCAATGGCATGAGGTGAAAATCTCTTGATTGGCAGGAGACAAATAAACAATCTCCTCCTGTGCAATGTACAGTCTCTGCTGGAGTGTCAGCTATGAGTTGGTTCTGACACAACAGTACATAACAACCACCTCTTTAGTAGGAGTCGCTGGTGGTGCAGTTAGGTGTTCAGCTGCCAGCAGAAAGGTTAGCGGTTTACACCTTCCCAGAGGCACCAAGAAGGACAGGCCTAGTGATCTGCTCCCCAAATTTCTACTAAGTGGGATCACATGGGGGTCACAGGGTGTGGCTCCAGGAGTGAGACTGGACTCAATGCACCTTTATTAACACTCCTTTCTTTCCTGGCTCATTTCCCCCCTTCTCTGTGTCTTGTCTCTACCCAGTCTTTTTGGTGTAATTCTAGCAATCCAATCAATATCTTTCCTTTCTTCCTCACATCCATCACCTCAAGGGAACAGGCAGAAGCATCTACCACTGTGGGGGAAAGTATCTGTCTACTCAATTGACCTCTAAATTCCAAAATCCAAATTCTCGAAGAAAATGTCTCATGCTTTTTAAATCACAGTACTCCAGCATACACTGGTATTAAAACCAGTACAGATTCACTTTAATGATTTGAGTGGGGTTGGGGGAGTTTGGCTGCATTGTTTTATTTGACTATTAGACTATTATTGACTGTCCAACCTGGGCTTGTGTGTATGGACATTATTATTGTCAGGTTCTGATTCATGATCAATATCTTGGCATTTGATACCTAGAAATTTAAGATTAGAGGATAAATAAATAAATAACTAGACAACAGTTTAATCTTTAAAAACACAGAGCTGATCACAGAAACATGACCCACTGAAAGCTATTTAGGGCTACCTCAAGTCAAGGCATAGTGATTCATTGATTTAAGATGGATTAATATTTTCCCACTAACAACAGCAACAGATTTTTATTGAAAAAAATTCAAATATATACCTATTACACCTGTTCTTTCTGGAAATATCTAAGAAGTAACTCTGAATGAGGGCTCTGCTGAGGGAGAAGTCCACGGTGCTCAATGCTGGACACACAGGTGTGGATGCGCGGACAGTGGGCCTGTGACAGCTGAGCTGTGGCCCCGTGAGGGCAGCAGAGAAGGCAGAGTCCAGGGCAGAATTATTTTGATCTAGTATTTGACCATAGTATAAATAGTGGTATCTTAAATACATATTGTGGAATATTTGCTCTCTGCTGGCACCAGTGCTGTGAAATACTATGTTATATTTGACAGTTTTATTTACGCATTGAAATTCCTCAAGTACACATTAAAATTCTGTATAAAAATTTTATAGACACTAAAAAGTTATTATTTATAGTTTTAGAAAGAAGTAGTGAAACTGTGTATGTGTGTTCCATACCCACTCTCTTTGGAAATGAAAAAAAAAAGTAATAATAAAGTATTAACAGATAGGTGACAATTAACAAATAGACTATCTGGACAGATAAATATCAATCTAAAATACCTGAATTTTCTTTTCACATCTGACTCCGGAATATCCAGTTCTGCAAGAGCACACATTGGGAAACACACATCTGCCTCCATAAAGACACTTTGGATTGCAAATTGCTGCAAGACACCATTTTTCACAATTATCATCTTGTAATTTACTGTATTCTAGAAATTCAAAGCTATTTAGTAACTAGACCACTAAAGTGGGTCATAAGAAGCTATGAACGGCTTACAGTACTGCCATCTTCCTGCAAACAGAACACATAACCACATACCCTAAAATATCTAAATCTCTAAATACTAACTTTATAATTCTAGAAAAAATGTTATTGGAGCAAAGAAAAACTACATGTGCTACATTTTAAAATATTTTGCTTTAATTTCTTGAAAGACTCAAGTTGGTCACATTAAAAATGTTTATGATTTTCTTTTTAATAATTTAGCAAGAATTAAAAAGAATGCAATAATAACCAATTAATTTTTTTAAAAAAGCAAACAATGCCATGTACAATCAATCGGAGCTTAATATCAAACTCCTCTATTGGAACTTTATAGGTATCTTCACTCTGCTAGTACCAGAAGTTTCTCCCTTGAAATCTTTCCCAAGGAAAATATTTAAGAATCTATATGGACTACATATCTACATCTCCAAATACATATAAAGAAAATTTATAAAAATGTTGAAAATATAATCACATAACTGTAAGTACTTTAAATAGGTCCATTTACATAGTAAATGGGAGACAAAATTATGGACACTTCTTGGTCATAACCAAACACCATAAGGAAATAAATGAGTCACTTGAAGACTAAGGATCACTGTCTCAGGGGACATCAAGATTAATTAGCACAACATTATCCACAAAAATAATGCTCTACAGTCTACTTCTACACTAAGGGTGTATAGTTCCTAGGGTCTTAAATGCATGTAGGTGACTATTTAAGGATCTTCCCAACTGGTGCAAAGAGTGAAGAAAATTAAAGATGGATAAAAACAATTAGTCCAAAGGACTCATAAACCACGTGCACTTCAGTTTCCATGACCCAGAGACCGGAAGAACTAGATGGTGCCCAGTTACTACTGCTGTCTTTTCTGAATGGAATCGTGATAAACGTTAGAATGGAGAAAGATGAGGGATAAATTACAAATTACAAAAAAAAAAAAAAAGATCAGACTTACTGGTATAACAGTCTGATAGAACCCCCAAAACTGGTCATTAGTCACTATTCAAGGCTGGAATAGAAATTACCTCTTGGAAAGCAGCAGCCAAACAATAGACAGATCCATAAGTTGAACAGTAAAACCAGAGAGGTACTCAGTCCTTAGACCACTCAACCACAGACAGGATCACAAAGGCAGCACTTATTCAGGGATAAAGCTCATGAGAAGGCAGGGACAAGGAAGAAAGAAAAGTGGAAATGGGGATCACAGGGAAAATGTGGGAAGAGTGCTGTTACAAAGAGGAATTGTCATCAGTGTCACTAATATTCCCACCCAGGACCCCATCACGCCATGTGCTGCCACAGGCCTAAGCTGGGACCAGAGAAGGCTGTCCTGCACCATGGTATTCAAATGCCTGATTGCCTTTTTTTAAAAAAAAGATTATTTTTATCATTTACTGATTCACATACACCATTCCTATACATTGCGTTTCATTTATATACATTGTGTTTCAACATTATTTATATTGGGTTTCATACAATCATTCCCATACATTATGTTTTATAAACTTCATCTCCATTGATCCAGGCCTACCATTACCCGACCTTTTCAGTTCCCCACTGGTTCTTTCCTAGTTCTCTCATCTGATCTTTCTGTCTATGAAACTCTGTGATCTTGTGATTTTCTCCCCTCACCACTCACCTCCTCACCTCTCTTCATCAGAAATGAAGAAATTGAGGAGGTAATTTAAAAAACCTCCCCAAAACAACATAACTTAGAAGGATTGCCATCACAACCAACAACTAGCACTCTACAGTTGTTGTTGTTGTTGTAGTGTACCATAGAGTTGGAACCAAGCCATAACTGACCCTCTGGCAGTTTTCAGAGGTGGTTAATCGCATGGGAGGAGATTGCCCATCCTTCTCCTGTGGAGCAGCTAGCTGGTGGCCTCAAATCGTGTGCCTTTGGGATTGCAGGGCAGCATCTTGCCACTAGGCCACCAGAGCTCCTTAGAGAACACCTAGACTGACACAGACTTATATGAAATACTTGAACATATCAATCAGAAAAGAAGAAATTGAGCAGGTCATTAAAAAACCTTCCCCAAAACAACAACAAAACTCAGTTCAGACAGTTTCACCAGCAATTAGATTGAACATGCAGAGAAGAATTATCACTAATCCTACTTAAATATTTTAAGAATATATAAAAAATAATGAACACTCCCACACTCATTCTATGGAGCAAGCATAACCCTGACAGCAAAGCCAAGAAAGAAAACAATAAATCTGTATCTTTAACTAACATAGATGCAAAAATCCTTAATAAAATCATAGCCAATAGAATCCAATAGCATGTCAAAAGAATAATTCATCATGATAGAGTGGGATTCATAATAAGCATGCAAGGATAGTTCAACATAAAAACCACCACTATAATCCACTATATCAAGAAAACAAAGGACAAGAACCACGTGAATATATCAATCGATACAAAAAAAAGGCTTTGATAAAATCCAACACCCTTTCCTGTTTGGAAAATTCAACAAAATAGGAATAGAAGGGGAATTTCCTCAACAGAGATACAGAGCATATACACTAAACCAATAGCAAAGGTAATCCTCAGTGGAGAGAGACTGAAAGCATGACCATTGGGAACAGGGGCCTGTGTAGTTTGCCCACTGTGATCATCCTTGTTAAACATTGTATTGGAAGCCCTAGCAAGAGCAATAAGGAAAGAAAAGGAAAAAAGAGGCACTGAAATTTGTGAAGTGGAGGAAAAACTATCTCTCTATGCAGATGATATGATAGTGCACATAGAAACTTCCAAACACTTGGCATGAAAACTGCTGGATCTATTAGAGCAATTCAGCAAAGTGGTACAGTACGAGATTATCATACAAAAATAAATCTAGTAATTTCTCTACAGTAGCAAGAGAATACAGAAAAGGAAGTGAGAAAAGAGGATATCAATGATAATAACAAACCACAAGATGAAATATTTAAGAATAAACCTCTAATTGAGACACAGAAGACTGACATAAAGAAATTGGGGAAAAAAACCTACAAAAAATAAAAGAGACTTAGATAAGTGGAAGACTATAAAATGTTCTTGGATAGGAAATGTCAACATTGTGAAAATGACAATCCTTCCAAAAGCAATCTACAGATTCAATGCACTCCCAGCACAGACACTGGTGCTGTTCGTTAAGAAAACAGAAAAGGCAATTTCCAATTTTATTTAGGAAAAAGAGACTCCTCTTGTATAAATGCAACATTGAAACGGTGTATTTTCCACAAGCTTTCTGTATACAATGGGACAAGTTCTATGAGTCACCATGGCTAAGGTAGCACCATTCACACACAGTACAGACATTACGCACTGACTCTATTACAACTGTCCAGCAGATGGCAGTAACACATATTAATCAAATACCATCTCCTGCAGTAAAAACCACACTCCCACTGCCCTTCAGGGATTGAACTCAAGGCGGGCCAGCCCTCTAACCTGCTTCTAGGGCGTTAAATCTTATGTAAGGAGAGTTGTAAAATATTTTTCGGTAAAGAAACCTCTTTTAATCCACAGAAAGCTGCTTCAGAGCACTCAAACCAAGACCGCTTTTTAAGGCACCTCAATGTACAAATACTGGTCATATTTCCTCGTAATTGTGCTTTTGACCTCTTTCCCATCCTCTCCTATGAATTCACATCATTCTCTTCCCAGAATAAACAGCCCCAGTTGTAGCTGCTAATTCTTCTTCCTGGCATTTTATTACATCTAACTCCTAATTAGTACCCTTGACATTTGAGCACATGCTTCTGCTGGAAGCACTAACTCTTAATGAATGCTTTGATATTTTTCTATTAAGAAAATATATAAATTATAATAACAATGCCAATTAATATAAACTGCAGAAGCTACTAAAATTACATGCAAAGTTCCAGATTGCGTGGAAGCAACAGAGTAGTTCACATAATTTACAAGGCCCACATGTATTTATATTTCTAGCAATGACAGGGTACAGGCAAGCTGACACTGTGTGATTTCACTTTACAATACAGTTGGATTCATTAGTTTTGAAATTATGTGATTATTGATCATTTGGGAAAAAATTAAATTTACTATTTTGTCCCCAGAATGAATCTGTTAGTATTTTAACAAGATAGTTCAAATTTTCATTATGCAAAATAACATCTAATTTCCTCTTGACCCAGAGCACTCGTCTTTGTGAAATATTATTGTTTAAATTGTGTTGCAACTGCCAATAAAGTAAAACTAATGCTCTTTCCTATAATGCTTTGAAAGGGAAAAACGTTCTGTTAGCCTACCAAAAGCAATTGGCAAGTTGCTTATCAAAATTGAAGCCTTTTTATGTTGTTTGCCTATCTATCCAGCACTCTGGTCGAGAGTAAGTTTCTCACCTGTGCTTTTTTGTACTACCCTGTACTCTGAAGCTGGGAATCATTCCCCTTTGGACACAGAACATAGGATGGTGTCAGCTATTTCTAGTCTTGCCCAGAACTAACACCAAGCCTGGAAAACCTTGGACAACAAAAGATGTTGTGGGAATTCTCAAACATTTCACTGCACTGAGTCCCTGCAATTTCTGCTGCAGAGAGGCAGATTTCGGAAGCTTATACCCCATCTCCTATATATTATTGTTAGGTGCCATTGAGTTGAATACGATTCATAGTAACCCTACAAACAACAGATCTGAACTCTGTCCTATCCTGGGCCATTGTCTCCATCTCTGATATACTTGAGCCCATGCTCTACTTTTCCAAGCATGACTTCTCTTTCTAAGGAATAGCCCCTTCTAACAACATGCCCAAAAGAATGTGAGACCAAGCTTTGCCATTCTTGTCTCCAAGGAGCATGCTGGTTGTACTTTCTCCAAGACATATATGTTTATCCATTTGACAGTTGAAGGGATACTCAGTAGTTTTCTCCAACACTGCAACTCAAAGGCATCAATTCTTCTATCATCCTTAGTAATGCTCTCACATGCATAACAAACAACTGAAAAAGATCATGGCCTGAATCCAGCACATCTTAGTCTTTAAACTGACATCACTGCTTCTTGATACTTTGGAGCAGTCCCTGATGACAGACTTTCCCACTGACACATTCCTTGATTACTGGTGTCAAGGGTTTTGTGGATTCCAGTAAGAGGAAATCACTGACAATTTCAACCATTTCTCCAATTATTGCAATGTTGCTTATTGGCACAGAGGTAAGGATTTTTGTCTTCTTGATGTTGACATGTAATACACATTGAAGGCTGTAGTCTTTGCTATTCTGCAGCAAGCATTTCAAGTCCTCCACACTTTTAGCAAGCAAGGTTGTGTCCTCTGCATAACACAGGTTGTTGATGAACCTTCCTCCAATCCTGATGCCACATTCTTCTTCATAGATTACAGCTTCTCAAATTATTTGCTCACCATACAGACTGAATGGATGGGGAGAAAGGATACATCCCTAATGCACTCCTTTCTTGATTTTAAACTATGAGGTGTTTCCTAGCTCTGTTCCAGGCTTCGTGTTCTAGATACAGGTTTAATATTAGGATAACTAAATGTTCTGGAATTCCTATTCTTTTCAAAGTTAACCATAGTTTATTATGATCCACACAGTTAAATATCTTTGCATAGTCAATAAAACACAAATAGACATTCTTATGATATTCTGTACTTTCTGCCAAATTCCATCTGGCATCAGTAATGATATTCCTTGTAAGCCCAGCCTAAATTTGTCACATTTCTCTGTCAATGTATTGTCTTAGCTGGTTTTGGATAATCTTAAGCAAGAGTTTGCTTGCATGTGTGAATAATGATATTGTTCAATAATTTCCACATTCTGTTGGACTACCTTTCTTGGGAATGGGAACAAATATGGATATTTTCCTGTGAGTTGCCCAGGCAGCTGTCTCCCAAATTTCCTAGAACAGACTGGCAAGCACATCCAAGGCTGTATCTGTTAATTAAAACAATTGGTACTTAACCAATTCCTGGGGCCTTGGTTTTTGTCAATGTCTTTAGTGCAGCATGAATATCTTACTTCATTACCATTGGCTCTTATTCCTATGTTACTTCTTGCAATATTTCAGTGTTGACCAATTCTTTTTTGTACACTGACTCTGTGTATTCCCTCTATCTTCTTGTGATACTTTCTGGATCATTCAAGATTTTATCCAAAGCAACTCTCAATATTGTAACTCGAGGCTTGAATTTGTTTTTAAGTTCTTTCATTATCAGAAATGCCATGTTGAGGTCTCCCTTTTTTTATTCTCTTACTCTAGCTCGTTATATATCCTGTCATACTTTGCTTTGTCTTCTCAAGCTGTCCTTCGAAATCTTCTGTTCATCTTTTTTACTTCTGCATCTCTTCCCTTTGCCTTGGCTTCTCCATGCTATAGTGTAGTTTTCAGTCTCTTCTGACATCCATTTTGGTCTCCCCCCCCCCTTTCTGTCTCTATAATGATCTTTTTCTTTCTTCATGGAGGATAACCTTGATGTCATGTCACAATTTATCTTGTCTTCTATCATTAGTATTCAATGCTTCAAGACTATTCTTGAGATTATTTTTAAATTCAGGTGGGAGATACTCAAGGTTATACTTAGGTCCTTGAGGATTTGTTTTCATTTTCTTCATCTTCAGTTAGAACTTGTACATAAGCAAGTTGATCGATGGTCTGTTACACAGTCAGCAGCAGGCCTGATTGTCACTACTGATTCTGAGCTTCTCCAACAATTCTTTCAACAGTTCTAGTCAATCATTCCTTTACAGTCTATCTAGTGAGGTCCATATTTTGCAATGAATAGATCATTGAATAGACAAAATTCAATCATTTATTCTCCAATAACAGTGTCACTCACAGTATTATACTTCAGGATAGATCACAAAATGGTCTTTCTAACTGTGAATACAACATCGTTCTTCCTCAATATTTCATTCCAAGAAAAGTAAATCATGTTGTTGTTGTGTGCCATCAAGTCAGAACCAACTAATAGTTGATCCTCCAGAAGGTTTCAGAGGTAGTTAATCACACAAAAGGAGATTGCTCATCCTTCTCTCACAGAGCAGCTGATGGATGCAAACTGTATGCTTTCAGGAATGCAGTGCCGTTTCTTAGGACCCGTCCACCAGAGTGAATACTAATCAAGTAAATCCATGATTATCTAATTCAAAATGACCAATCCAGTTCAACTCCAACTTATAGCTAATGGTTCAGAGGGTTTTCAAAGGCTATAAATTGTTCATTTTTGTTCCACAGAAAAGCTGTTGGATTTGGCTGCCAGTACAAGTTCTTATCCACCAGATTTTCCTCCTGCGTGCTTCCAAACATAATTTATTTTCCCATTACTACTCTTCAAGATTGGTTTGTTGTTTCTTCTTTCTTTCTTTTTTATTTTAGTTTTTGGTGTTGTTTTGTTTTGTTTTACAGTAGGTTGCAAAATTATGTTTTTTGTGGTAATACTATTAAAATACTAAAGTGGCTCCACAAATTAGAACAGTATGTTAAAATTTGAAATGATGAATATTGTTTGGTTTCATGTGGGTTTGTTTTTTGTTTGTTTGTTTTTAAAAAAACTGCTCTATGTTATAACTTTCTTTGAATCACCAAAAAGAACTTCAGTAGAAAACCAAAGATCTTTGTTTTTTTCCTTAGCCATACCATAAGAGCTATTATGACCTAGCTTGTAAAGTACAATGCTGCTAACCCAACAGGCATGCATCTCAAAAGGTTCCACCAGCTGCTCTGGGGAAGGAAAAGATGGGCAGTCTCCTCCTAGTAAAGTTAGTGGTCTGGGAAACCCAGTGAGTTGGCATCTGCTTTGCCACACACAGCACTGATATATTCTCCCTTACTTCTATTCCTTAGGGAGCTCTTGTGGCCTCACCCATAGGGAGTTGTGCTCCTAACCCAAAGACAGCACTTCTCTGGCTGTTCAAATCCACCAGCCTCTCCAAGGGGGAAAGGTGAGAAATCTCCTCTGGTGTGACAATACAGCCTTCCAAAACCCTCATTCGGACTTCATGGAAAAGAGGTTGAGTTCCATTGATTTAAATGTGTATCGAAGGAAGATCTTAATTTTTAAAATCTTTACTTTAAGGTAAATATTAGCATCTGGGTCTCCTCTATCCCCATGACTATATCTTGTTCAGTTCTAGGAGATTTAGGTTTACAATGTTTATTAGAAAACAAACCCTGTAGGCTTACGTATTTGGCACTGCATTCCTTCCCACGAGGCAGGACAATGGCACACGCTTGGAGCAATACATTCTCCACCATTTTTACATGTCTGCAAGCAGACAGCTGTGGATATAAACAAGTTGAAAACTACTAAAAGTCAAATATTTAAAGGTTCATTTCCATATTATTAATAATATTTTCCAGTGTCTTCACACATTCTTAGAACATGTGAGTTTAATGACTGTACAATGTTCCATTGTTTACATGCATTGTGATTTAACCTTTTTCCCAGTTGCTGGGAAATTTATGTTGCTTCCCATTTTTCACTTCCACAATTAGATTGTAATAGTTGGTGATTTTAAAATAATAATTTTATAGAATAGAGCCTGTAGTTAATTTTTTGCCCTTTGCTATTGTGAAAATACGAGTTCACAGGACTGTCTATTTTACTCTCACTAGTTAAAAGTAATACTAACAGGAGTAAATATATAAGTACACAGGAAAATGCTCTTTGCTTTAGATTTTTTGTTTCCATAAATGATGAAGACTCTGAAAGTTAAGAGTTCCCCTTACATGTGTTGCAACGTTTCCCTTTCCAGCCAGAAGGACAAGAACAAACGTTTGGTCCCACACATCTTCCTCCATTCATGCACATAGGATCACAAATGCCTTAAGAAGAAAACATCAAAATATCAGCCTATATCCAGAAATACTCTCGAGAATGCTTTACCTGTATTTGGCAAATTCCTTTAGAAGTGTCTTACTGTTTTGACATCTTCTGCCAGTGTATCCGTCATGACAGGCACACAGGTTCTTTCTTACGCAGTGACCACCATTCTTACAGGGAGGGTGACAGATGGCTAAAGAGCACAAGATACCAATCTGTGAGCATTCCATACTCAATTATTATAGATTACTTATGGCATCATGTACTTGTTATCAAGGAGGCCATAAGGCAGAAGGATGGGCTATTAATGTAAAAGATCACAACAGCAAGTCATTAAAACTGTCCTTTCTAAATCATAAAACTCAGCGCTTGTAGCTATAAAGTGCTAGTGGATTAGCGCTAGTGGAAATGGATTGCTGAAGTGTTCCTAACAAATGATGTCTTTGGTATCACAGTGTGTTATTATAAAACTTAACTTCTTTTCCAACATACTTTGATTTAAAGAATGAAGTTGGCTGGTCAAGACCAAGAAAATAAATCAGAACCTAGATATATGAATTCATATATTTTGGAAGAAGTTAGAAGGATTTTAATAGTTTATGTGACATTGTAAAATAAACTTTTGACTACCAACTGAGGTAATGAGGGTAGAGATCTAATATATAATGTGTCTATGAAGGCCTAGTACAAATCTCAACTGTAAAGCCGTAGTTTTGCTAGGAATAATTTACTGGATAATCTTGACTAGTTTTTACTAGTTTTTTCTGTGTGTATATATAACTCTGCTCCATGGAATTCAGAGATTGATACCTACCACTTCTCAAAAATTATCATTTGTGTTTCTTTCCAATATGAAAAAGAATTATTTTAAAATAATATCGAAGAAAACTGGTCTTGAATGTAAAAAATAATCATCATCATAATCTCTTCCCAAAAGCAAATTGAAAGCATCATTTTAAACTGTCGGTACCATTCAAGATTAGGAATTAGATGACCTTTTACAAATGAGTGCTAAAGTAATTGGTTTTGGTTACAGTGCAGGTGTGGATTGACTCTCAATTTGATTATGAGCCTTTATTATTTGAATGAAATTTACAAATCATATTAGTCTTTGACTTATACACTTTTTCTAATATTCATTACAATTGAGTAATATATTTAATTGTAATGTTCAATCAATTCCCTATTGTATATTTGTTTTCTCTTCACCTAGTTTATCTGTTTATTAATTTTCACTTCCCTCTACGTCTCTTCTCACCTCAGTTAACAATCTGAGAATGTTTACAGAAAACTTGGATTTCTATTCATTTATTGTTGTACATTCTCCTCCTTCACCCCAGTCCCCCAGTTTACTTTTCTCTTAAAAAAGATTCTTTTATTGCTGCATAATTTCTTCCCTCCCCCATTCCCCCAGTTCATTTTGCTAAGCACCTCTTATTCTGGACTGTTGTCATGCAAATAATATCTATATCATCTACTTCTCTTAGACAGTTGTTGTTATGTACTATAGAGTTGGAACAGACCCAGAACTGACCTTCCAGCAGATTTTCAGAGGCAGTTTCTTAGCTTTTATTATAGCAACACCTGTCTTTTCCTCAGCTGGTTTTGGTGTGTATATGCCATTTTCCCTACCACTCATTCAGCTTCAGAAGGATAAATGCTATGTTTATCTTTGTGGGTTTCATCTGCTTCTTTTCCCCAACCTTGTATCCTCCATGTTGAATCTCAATGACAATAATAAGACCACTTAGGTTGCTAATCATGTGTTGATTGTCTCTTGCACATGCAAGTAGTCCACTTTATGTCTAATTTACACCTTAAATCAATGGCCTAGATTAAATTCTAATTCTAAGGCCTGAAATTAAAGGAAATTTCCAAAATCCGTAACTATTAATTGTAGTTGTGGAGACTAGCAAATTCCACACCCGCTTTCCTCATACTTCAGCAAAGCCATGGTATATTTAAATAGATACTTTCCTATTTAGTTTATTAATTTAGCCATGACTTTCTTTCATCTAGTCACAAAGTCACTATAGTTTCTGTCTACTGAAGTAGTATGAGGAGCAAAAGTGCCTCCCTTCCCCATCCTGCCTTCTACATGCTGAACCACGTCCATCACCCTTTGATACGGACTTAGTCGTAGTTCCTCTGCTTTCAAAGTATATTTTAACTTCATCATTACTTCTTTTCATTTCTTAAACTAGTTTCTTAAGGAATCTCAAATTAGAGGGACTAATTTCCTATGTACTTGTAGGTACATAAGAATGATAGTTTCTTTTTTTCCTAAATGTCATCCTAAAAATTCCAGAAAAACTCTAAATTTTTAAAATGAGATTGTAAATTCAGTGTAACATGGCAAGGAAGGTATAGCTTTTATAAATTAAATCATGACAGGTTCCATATTTTTTTAAACATCCTACTCTACACTTTTGGAGGAATACAATAAATATGAGTAAGCAGAAAAGCCACTTTAAATACCATTTATTGGCATTAACTCATGTCTGCACTGTCAGCCTGAAGTCATTTGCATCCTTGTGATGGGACCTACAGCATTAATTATATTATAGAAGGAATCACAAATAGCAGGCCATGAAGGAGAAAGGTGATGGATCTTTATTTCCTACATTACCTTTTGCATTGTGCTGTGTGCAGAGCTGGCTGTTCATAAATATTTAATAAAATAAAACTCAAGAGAGAACATAGGAGAGCGGTGGGCATTAGACTGACCATAAATTAACCATTTTTTGCTGTGAAGGCAGCAACAATGACACCACTTCAGTGTAATAGACTCCAAAAGGACTTACTTGTTTTTCACACGTTGTGCCTGTGTACTTGTACAAACAAGTGAAAAGATTGCAAATCAAACATGTATTGGGTAAATATAACCCTTAACAGAATAACTCTGATGTATTTCAAAAAAACAGCTATTTAGTGATAAAATCTACAGCATATTGAAGAAAGGGCTTTGTCCCCTTAGAAACTTGTGTGTTCAAGTTTACCTCAAGCTCTTTTTAAAAATAAATTTCCTTGTAACTTTGAGTAAAGAAAATATGATTACCATTCTGACACTGTGCACCAAAGAATCCACTCGGGCAGAGGCAAGTGTTTGGCTTATTACAGGAACCGCCATTGAGACAAACAGGGTCACACAAAGCTAATGAACAGCAGGAGGGAAAGAGACCACAAGAATTTTATTATTTTTAAAAATGAAAGCTGCACAGAAATTCAACACAATGCATTGTGAAACATTTCATTATGACTGCAAGTAAAACTCAAAACCTAAAATTAATTAGACTTTGACAAAAATAAAAGAAGAAGAATGAAATAGCTTTGACTGCATGTTCATTTAGTTTACAAACACTACTAACAAGATGCAGGCTATGACAGGAATTCATAATGCCCTTTATAAACTGAAGAAATAATTAGAAGTTTTTTAAAACAGACAATTCAACTAGACTGTTTCTCATTGCTCAAATGAATTTGTCTCCATGAACCCCTTTAAGTCACCCCATTCCAACATAACACTGCACACAAGTCCTTGCACAGTTTAGAACATGCCCTATTTTTCCTTCTTTACCTTAGCACCACTTTGGAAAGCACCCTTTTCAATCTAGAATTCATCCATTCTCCAAATACTAGCCCAAACACTAGTTTCTTAACAAATTCCATTCGCTGGAGTTCATTTCCCTCTTCTCTGTTTCCAAGGAACTGTGCACCAATTACATTACTTATCATAACCCAGCTTACTTATTCATACTTCTTGTTGTTGTTCATTGCCATCAGGTCAGTACAAACTTATAGGCAACCCTCCAGTGAGTTTCCAGAGGCTATCATCTCACAGGAGACTGCCAATCTTTCTCCCAGAGTCCCTGGTGGGCTTGAACCATTTGCCTGGGGCTACCCAGTGGGTCCCCAGAGCTCCCTTATCCTTACCCTTATCATAACCAAATTACTTATCATAATTCATTGTCATTTTTCACAACTGTAACCCAGGCACCCTTCATGAATAATAGGTGATTTCAAATCAGGACAAAAATTATATAGCTTCTTTTTTTCTCATGCACTTTCCTCACACATTTTAAGTCATACATACTTATTTGAAGTTACATAAGGAAAATCGCAAGGCACATTAGATCAAGCATAGAGAAGCACAAACACTGTTGCCAATGCAGCAAACCTAGAACTGTGATAAATAAATCAATAAGATCACTTTAGTACTAGCACGATGGATGTCCTTTTCATTCAGAATTGCTTGGACATTCAATGACATAATGTGCATGCTGGGGTAAAAAACTTATTAGACATAGAAGATGCAACAAAATTCTGTTCCTCTCCAACAGAAGGTGAAACAAGAAATATGGGGGCAGGGGCAGTTTGGCTAATAGAGCCATAAGACAATGTATTATCTAATATAGAAGAAAAAGAATGAGGATTAGAAACAAGATTTTAAAAATCTGTAGTCTTTGGATAGTGAGAGTTGCACACTCAGCTGCTAACAAAAGTTAGAAATTCAAATTCACAGAGGCACCTAGGAAGAAGTTCCTGGTGATCCCTTCCAAAAACCTAGCCATTGAAAATCTTATAGCGCAAAACTTGTAAAACTACTCTCATCCATAAGGGGGCACAATGAGTTGAAATCAACTCAACAACCAATGGTTGAGTTGGATTTCAAAATCCATCTGAAATAACCTTATCTTGTCAGATAAGGTTCATGTTTCTTAGGTGGATGTCTTTAAGATACTGCCACATTTAAGCTTCTTTAACAGACATGCTCATTGAAAATATTTCTTCCCCCCCGCCCCCCGATCCAAGCCATAGTATTATTTGTAATACTTTTTTTATTTTGTTGATGTTGTTGTTAAGTGCCATCGAGTCATAGACAACTCATAGTGACTCTATGAATAAAAGAACGGGACACTTGTATAATTTTCATGCTTTCTCCAGGTTCATAGGGTTTCTGGAGGCACACTATATTGGAAGTGGATGCCACTCCTGCTCCACCAAACACGTTCCACCATGGGTAACCATTATCATATTTGACACAACAGTGTTCAGCTTCACAGCAACCACGAGTTACCTCTGTACAACAAGTGGACAGACTACGGCTATACGACGTAGAAGAATGTTTCACCAAAAATAATTAAAAACAGGCTTGAGGGCTACGGATTAGAGGCACTCACTTTTGGCTTGGTAGCATCACTTTCTGTCCACTAGGCCAACTGACCTCTCTCTGTGCTGTTATTGTTTAGTCAAGTTGTAGGTGACTCATAGCAACCCTATGAATGAAAGACCTGGATACTTACATAAATTTCTTCCTTTCTCCAGGTTCATAGGGTTTCTGGAGGCAAGCTGTTTCAGGAAGTGGATGCCACTCCTGCTTCCAAGCTTGTTTTAATTTTACTCTGATTTAGTTACAAAGTATGAATATATTGTTTTTCACAAAAGATCCTTCTCATTTCCTTTGCCCCACCCACCCATCAAATTGTGCAACCCTATGATTAACTCCCTACCCCCACCCCCATCCTCTGATTTTACCTGTACTACAGGTTGGTCCATACCAGCCAGGCTTGCACTGGCAAATGTCTGGGGTAAGACATTCTCCTCCATTTTCACAGTGCCTGTTACACACCACTAGGATCATAAATAAGAAGAAAATAAAGGTAAATAGGACATGGAGTAATCATATTTTTGCCTATTACCTATGCAGATTATAATGACCAGTGGGGGAAAAAATACCCCCACAATTTATACTTTGATTTAGAAAGTTGTCAGAACCTCAGATTAATTTCTTTTTTGCTTAAGGAAATGGGGAATGGAGAAAATCACTCTGAGAAGTATATAAATATTAACTATTTTGCAAAAAATTTTAGTTGCTAATGAAAACAATTATAAATTAAATGAAATAAATGTGCACACAAGTAACAACCAAGAATCCCTGCAAGCTCAAAGAACACATTTATTTGTTAGTACTATTTGCTTGTGGTTGTTCCTAGTGATATTCAGAATGATATATCACAATCATGAATGGATGTATTTTACTTAGGGTTTTGAATCATCTCATTTACTATTTTCCACCAATAAGTCAAAGTGGCCACCCAATTAGAATAGACTGCAAGAGAGCTTTACTTACTTGTTTCACATCTTGGTCCTACAAAACCATAAGGACAAGTGCAGAGATTGACCGCCAAGCACGTGCCACCATGTTGACAAGGAGGGGAACAATGTTCTGCAGACAGAAATTGTTACTAAGTCCAGCTCTTCATAAAAGAAGTTAGAGTAATGATGCACAGCCCCATTTAAACCCTATTGGAAGCGTTCTTTCTCACTCTCTGTCTCCTTCTTTCATTGTCATCAAGTGGGTACCAACGCACAGATTTCTGTGGCTGTAAATCCCTCGAAAGGAGACTGCCCATCTTTCTCCTACCTGCAGAACTGCTGTTCCATGTAACATCAAGCAGTGCAGGCTTTGTGTTAGCAGCACGATTTGCTAGAGAGTATACCAGGAGAGATCCCTATTAAACTCCCTCCCTCCCTCACTCACTCACTCGTTGCCATTAAGTTCCTCACTGACCCTCCAGTGGGTTTTCAGAGGCTGAGACATGGAAAAAGAGTAGTCATCTTTCTCTTACAGAGCAGCTGGGGCAGGGTTCAAATCACCTGCATTTGGGTTGGCAGCACACCTCCTTACCAGCCACCAGAGCTCCCTCATTGGGCTATTGAAGGTTGCATTGTTATTGTGTGCTGTTTAGTTGATCTGACTCAGAGTTGACCCTTCAACAGGTTTTCAGAGGCTTTAAATCGTATAGGAGAAGATTTCCCACGGAGCAGCAGAAAGATCTGCACTGCATTCCTTAGGAATGGCAACTCAACTTCTCATCACTAGGCCACGAGAGCCCCCTCCCTTCTTACTAATTGGCAGTTAGTATTTCCTTGGAATATTATATTTGACAAGTCACTCAATATTTATGTGTCCTGTGCATAATACTATGGGAGTTCTGGCGGCCAATTGTTAAGAAGCTGCACAGCAATTCCAAAGACATGGGGTTAGAATCTAGCACCTATTTCACAGGAGAAGGATGAGCAGTTTCCTCCCTTGGAATTTACTGCCTCTGGAACTCCACTGGAGGGTCAGCTCTGAGTCACTTCCAACTCTTCGGCACATAACAATAGCAGGTGTAGTGCCATAATACTGGTAGGGAGAAATTGGCACCTTGTACCTAATGTTAAAACTTCTTCTCACATACTTTGGCATGCCGTTAGGAAAGACAGGTCTTTGAAGAAAGACATCATGCTCAGAAAAGTGGAGGATAAGCAAAGGAGAATAACAACCTCAGTAAGATGGATTGACGTGGTGACTTAACAATGGGCAGAGGTGACAATGACACAGGATAGAACATGGTTCAGTCCTGATGTTCATAGGTTCACTAGGAATTGTACAACAACCATTTAAACCCCAAGAAATCCTTTCAGGAGATAATTTTTTTTTAATTGCTATAGGAATTCTTTTTCTTTTTTCTTAATTGAGATTTTAATGAAAGTTTATAAAGAACTTGGATTTCCATTCATTCATTCATTGTTGCAGCTATAGGAATTCTGAGTTTGGAAACTTTAGCTTTTGAAGTCTACAAATAAACCTGCTTTCACTATAAATATTGGTAAGACTTAGAGACCCTCATTATATATCATCGACACTAATTAATACATATTAGTATATGGACGTAAAAAAACTGCCTTTAGAAAAGATTATTTTTAAAGAATTAAAGTCCTCTGGGCTCTATCACTCGATTTTTAATTTGAATCATCACCTTCATCACAGGCAGCTCCATCATATCCCAGGGGACATTCACAAATGTTAGGCTTAATACATTTTCCATTGTTTTTACATTCAGGGTTGCATACAGCTGTATAGGAAAAAAATTCCATGGTTTAGAATATCAATTACCAATTAAAATTCTTTATACAAACTAAAGAGGATTGTACCTACCAGTTTGGCAGTTAGAACCAATGTAACCAGGTTTACATTTGCATATATTTGGGGCAACACACTCTCTGTTTCTTCCACATGGCTGTTTACAAATGGCTGTAAAAGTCAAGGAGAAAAAACTTAATATACACATTCCCCATTAGTCTGGTTAGGTTGTTGTTATGTGCTGTCGAGTTGCTTGAGATTCAGTGACTCTCTGTGCCCAGCTCTGAACGCAGCTCTATCTTGAGCCAGTTTCACTGTCTACAACACACCTACCCCCATTAAAAGCAAACATTCTGAAATTTTAAAATGTTAATACTGTTACTAAATAATAATCACTACATTTACAAAAATCATAGTTTTCTCCAATAATTCTTTCACTAACACAATGACTGAGAAAAACATGCAGGGTGAAAAGTCATCTCATTTAGTAGTATTTACTCACACAGCAGAACCTGATTAATACTGGCTGCTAACAGTAAAGGGAGCTTCGTGGCCAAGTGGGTAGAAAGTTGCACTGCCAAACCAAAAGCAGGCAGTTCAAATCCACCAAATGTTCCATGGGAGAAGATAATTCTTTCCTTCCGTGTAACTTAAAGCATCTGAAAACCCATGGGCGCGCGTGTGTGTGTGTGTGTGTGTGTGTGTGTGTGTGTGTGTCTGTCCCATTTCATGGCCGTAAAGTGAGAGTGGCCTCCGGAAACTCTGAACTTTGATAAATGTCAATAGTTGTAGAGGGGCTTTAGGCCTTTGTTCATAGGGTCACTATGAGACATGCTCAACTCAAAGGCAATTAACAACCACCACAACAAATGGGATTAGTCTTTTTTAGGAGAAAGTGAAAAAATTTCCGAAATTAATCAAATGCTTGTAAATGCTAGGAATAATCATAATAACATTATCAAAATTCCAAGAATACACTGCAAGATTATAATTTTTTTAAATTTCTTCTAATTGCTTGCTATCTTCTGATTATTTGCATCCCGGAAGTGGCTGAAATGCATGAAGTTGCTTTATTTCATTTCCCCCAAAAAAGGAGTTTTCTGTTTTAGTTATTGATGAGGTTTTTTTCGTATTATTCATAGAAAAGAGACAAACTCCAGTTCCTCTAGGCAATACCAAGAACAGAAAGATTTCGCCGGCAGCTCTTTCCTTTAAATTTAGTTTCAAGCAAGCAAAAACTAAAACGGTAAAAACAACAAACTTCTTCATTCCCAATGTCAAAGGTTTTATTTGTATCAAATAACACTGTACAGTTAATAATGAAAAGATTCCTTTCAAAATTAAAGTCATGCACTTCTTTTATTCCCAAGAGAACAGGAGAATTATAGGAAAACTAATTTGTGCGAAGGAAGCTCTGACGATGTAATACACCTGGGAGTTATGCCCCAACCCAAAGGCTACATTGCTCCGGCAGTTCAAATCCACTAGCAGCTACATGGGGGTGGAGGGAGAAAATGGGAAATCTCTCCCTGTGCAATTCGCAGCCTTGGAAACCCAGGGAAGGTCAGTTCCATCTCAGCAACAATGAGAGACAGAGTTCATGCAACTACGTCAGAGGTAGTATTTTTGAAATGATAAATGCTTACTATGTGTTGAAAGAACCTAAATCACCGTGCTAATGAGACTTATAACTATCTCTTCATTTATGTCCTTAGCAAAGTCTATGACCCTCCAAGGTTCTGCTTCCTTTTCTGTAAAGTGGGAAAAATAATATCCACTATGTGAGTTTCTTATAAATATATGACATTAATTATGGTGATAGAATGTTTCCTCAAACATTGAAACACAGTTGGTACATGTACAGTAATTTTTACACTAACAATATACATTATAACAGTTACAATATTATATAAAATTAACCTTATTTTACTCAGAATTTTATTTTTCTTTTCTCTCCAAAATTTTTAAGGATATACAGTGGAAATGGAGTCATTAGAAATAAATAGAAAAGTATGCCTTCTTCTTTGTTTAAATTTGAACTAGATAATTTTCTTTGACTTTTCCAAAGTGTTGTTACACTACCTTTGCAATTGATACCATCTCCATAATACCCCAATGGACAGCGCCCACATTTGAAGTGACCATCTTTGGTTGGCACACAGGAAACACCAAGAAAACAAGGTGAATCAGCACAAGTTGGTAGCTCAGTTGATCCAGGCTTTTCTGGTGAGATGCTGAATGCTCTAATGACTGATGGTGCAAGCTCATCTATATACTGCGTGTAGCTCAGGGAAGATGTGTAAACTTGAGAATTATACTCTCCTGCCTCTGTTAGTGTGGTGCTCTGAACAGCATCCTTAGCTTTGCCATAGGAGCTATTTGGACTGATGCTTACAGAACTAAGATTATTCAAAGAAATTTCCACCTCATTTAGACTGAAATTTGTAGTAAGAACATGATTCACATGTTTGAAACCAGACATGTGGTAGGAAGTAAACTTATTTGAATTATTCATTTGAGTTGTAACTGATTTCAGTAAGTGCAAGATATGATTGGCTGCATCCAAGGATGTGTTGATAATAGCAGGGCTGTGAGTATCACTTGTAAAAACTGGCAAATTTTCAGTTGATAGTGGTTGAAAACCTATATTTAAACAACAGAAAAAAAAACAGAAATGTTAGTCAATGGTTTCCCTCCAACACTCCCCCCCAAAAAAAGACAAGCAAACAATGTAAGCTTTACACCAGAAAGCACGAAAAAGCTACAGATGAAATAAGGTGCAACATATGTTTCACAAAACCAAGAATGTTTCCCAATGGCATTTTTTAATGCTATTCTCTTTTAACAAGCGGTGTTTGGTGGCAAGGAATTCATTACTTTATGCAGTGACTGCTGTGTGTATAACCAGGAGGTCTGATGGCACAGTGGCGAAAGTGTTTGGTGGCTTACCCAAACGTTTGTCTAAAAGTTCAGACCTATTTATTCCTTGAGAAAGATGTAGCATTCTGCGTCCTTAACCACTGCAGCCTTGGAAGTTCTGGGTCAGTTCTACATTGCTCTATCTTATCACTAATGGTCAAAATTGACTCGACAGCAACAGATTTTATTTGGGGCTTATGTGTATTAAACTCTAGGAGTTAGGCTGTCATCAAAAAGTCATGGTTCTTGTCTTCAAAACAAATTATAATCTACCTGAGCACAAATGATCCTTGAAAAGTTAATGTAAAATGTTAAAAAATCATAATTATTTCTCTAATAATTAGAAATTATCATAAAGTAAAAATATTATTCACTCAAAGCATCCTGATCTCAATTCAAATGCCACTTAAACTCACTACAAAATGAAATTAAAACCACTAACTAGCTTAAATATCACCTGCCCTCAATTCCTCTCATGCATCAAATTTCTCCCTACTAGAATTTTATCCTTCATAATATTGACTGTGTTTCTTCTTAGTAATAATCTCAGGAATAAGAACTGCACTTTATTAGTTTTTATATGCGTTTAGTTTGGTGTCTGGCATAAAACTTAGTAAAGGACTAACAACAATCAAACATTCTTTCTGTTTTTTATTATGTACCTAAAATATACAATACTCTGGTCAAATGAAGAGAGTTGCTAGTTAAGCAGGTTAGAATTTGGTTTGACTTATTTTCCTTTTTAATCTTACTTGAGAAACGTTTTTTTGGGGTTTTAAAAATGTTATTAATATTAATGAACATTTACAGAATTTTTTGGATTTCCATTCATTCATTGTTGCACTTTTCTCTCTGCCCACCCCTCCACCCAATTTGCTCTTCTTGAAAAATAAAAGAAAAATTCCTTCATTGGTATACAGTCCCCCCCGCCCTGAGTACACTCAACTATGCAACCTTCATTCTGGACTCTTGTCATAACCGTAATACGCTATCATATATCGCTTTTAAACTGTTCTCTCCCTCATCTGTTTCAATGCAGTATACACAATTTATCCAGTTTTTTCTCAGTCTTACCCCCACCCTGATGTCAGTCCCATTCTACACTAGGGGAACCATGCAGTATTTGTCCTTTTGTGGCTGAAATATTTTGCTCAGCATAATGTCCTCCAGGGTCACCCATTTTGAATAATATTGCATGAGTTCCTTGGTTTTCAATGCAGCATAGTATTCCATTATGTGAATATACCACAGCTTCTCTATTCATTCATTTGTTGATGGGCACTTAGATTGTTTCCAACTCCATGCTATTGTGAATAAAGCTGAAATAAACATGGCTGTGCATATATCTGCTTGGATGTCAGTTATGGTCTCTTTGGGGTATATTCCCAGCAGTGGAATTGCTGGGTCAAATAACCACTGTGAATGCGGTGTGGCACTTTCTCAAAAAGTTGCAAATAGAGATACCATTTGACCCAGCAATTCCACTACTGGGAATACAACCCAAGGAGAAAAGTTTTACTGAGGGAATGAGCCTCTGAAAAAGAGGGATGTTAGATCATGTAAAGGCATAGAGCAGAAGGTATGACCATATGGAGTACTAGACACTGGATGAGAGGAAAATGAGATTAGTTGAAGTAGCAGGAAATACCCTTTGCATTGCTGATTGCACTTGCCATTTTTATTGTTTTTAGCACTAGACAGCCCCATAACAATTTGAAGAACAAGGTGATGATATTGTCTCATTAATATACTGTTCTTCATCAAAATAGAGTTCCATTAGCTTGACTCCACCAAAGTTGTGGTTCTTTAATGTTATCTTCCAAAATATTTCTACTTAAATATTTTGAAATATTGATGCCCACTAATCTTTTTGGTTCTCTTCTTGGTGTTCTCCTGGGTATTATTATCCCTCATGTGATGATCCAATGTATTGCATTGTTGAAATCAAGTTGGTTTTCCACAGTGATCTCAATCTTCATGTATCTGAAGTGCATCCTTTCCCCTATCACTCTATAGGGAGCTCTGGTGGCCTAGTGGCAAGAAACTGCTTTGCAATTCTGAAGGCACGTGGCTCAAGACAATCAGCCAGTCCACAGGAGAAGGATGGCCAATCTCTTCCCACATGATTATATGCCTCTGAAAACTCACTGGAGGGTCAAGTATGGGTTGTTTTGACTCTGCAGTACACAACAATAAAAAGCAACAACAGCTACTCTAATTTTTTTCATATTACATGAGTCCACCAGGTGTTTTCCATGAGAGGAATGGACAATCTCCAAATGTGCAATTTACTGTCTCTGAAAACCCACTGGAAGGTCAGCCACAGGTCATTTCAGATTTGACGGCACAGGAGAACAACATTAACCTATACTGGGGTCTCTGTGGGTTTAGTGGTAAGGAATTGTGATGGCAAACCAAAGGTGGCGGTGGTGGTTTTATGTGCCTTTGGGTCACTTGCGACTCATAGTGACCCTATGGACAACAACTCTGAAACCTGCTCTATTGTGTGCCAACTCTATTGTCTCTGACACATCTACCCCCATTACCCCAGTCACTGAATCAACCCATCTACTGAGGGTCTTCCTCTCCTGTGCAGTCCCTCCACCCTCCCAAGCATGATGTGCTTCTCCAGGGACTGGTCATTCCTTGCAACATGTCCAAAGTATGTCAGATGAAGCTTCAGAATCTTTACTTCCAAGGAGCAGCCTGATTTCACCCTCTCTAGGACGAATATGTTTGATCTCTTAGCAGTTCGTGGTGTGTTCAATACTCTTCTTCAACACCACAGCTCAAAGGTATCAATTCTTCTATCATCCCTAGTTATTATCCAGCTTTCTGTGCATACCAAGTAACTGCAAAGAACAAAACCTGGATCAGGCACACCTTAGCCTCCAGACTGATATTATTGTCCCTCAGTACTCTGGAGATGTCTCTGACATTAGACTTTCCCAATGCAATTTATCTTTTGAATTCCTGGCTGCTATTATCAAGATTGTTCAAATCCACCAGTTGTTCCATGAAAGAAAGATTTACCATCCACTCCCAGACAATTGACTGCCTCTGAAAACCCACTGGAAGTTCAACTATGGGTCAGGTCTGACTTAATGGTACACAACAACAACAGCAACAACAACAACAACAACAACATTTTCCTAAACTAAGTACTTGACACAAATCAAGTGCTGTCACTTTTTTCTTTAGCATCTCTTTAATCCATTCTCACATCTCATCTTAGCTCAAAATGTCTTTAGGTCTCACTAGATATTTTGACAATATCTTAACTTTTTTGCCCACCTTCAGACTTACCTAACTAATTCCTTCCAAATAGGTCGTTCTTAATCCTACTCTTTAAATGAACTTCCTGAAACGTAAATCTTATGCTTCTCTTCTAACAACAACAAAAACGAAACACCTGTTTTAAATCTTACTTTAATAAATAAGTCCCAAGTTTTGTCCATGGTCTGGCCACAGGTAATCTTTTTAGCTTCAATTCTTTAACAATCTCTGTACTTCCTATGTGGAGGTACATCAAATTGTTCAGACTCCAAGATGTACTGGGATGTTACATGACTCTCTACCTTTGTGCAGGCTATTTCTGTCTCCTAGAATTCCTTATCTTTCCTAATCAAGACCTCAAATTCAACCCTATTGATGTTACCTTTCCTTCATTCTTTTATGTAGATGTGGTTCTCTGTGTCGTATTTTTACTATTCACTAGGTACTTTTATCAAAGTGTAATGTGCACATTATTACTTTTAAAAATTACATGCCATATTCCCTACTATCACATTCTAACCTTTAAGTTACAAGATAATTATGAGACTGAAGGAATATCTTATTTATTCCTGTGTACTGAATCAATGCTCAGAAGAAAGAGTGTATATAATTTAGTGACTTGAGTGCATTAAATACAGAAAGGAAAACACTGACTGTAGAAAAGAAAAACTGCTACCATGACACAGTTTTCCATCACCAGAAAGTCCTTTAGGACATGAACCACAGTGATAGGAACCAAAAGTATTGAAGCACTCTGTTCCTGGGAAGCAAGGACCAGATTCACACTCATCAACATCTTCATGGCAATTCACACCTAAATGAAATATAGATGAAGACTTTAAGTTACTTAAAACTATTAATCAAGTAATACTTGAGTAATCAAGTTCTCATTATCATCTCATTTTCTTTACTCTTTATGTATCCCAGTATAACCCAAAGAAGCAGTCAAATACACTATGAGGGAGGAATGATGCTGCTGCTTGTCTAACACCTTCTACATCAAACTGTTACTAGTTCATTCCTTTTAACAATAAACTGGGATCTATGGTGCCCAAGACCTTTCCTCTAGAACTGAGATTATTTAAGTTGTTCACTAAAATTTATAAGGAGTAAAATTGCTGTAACATATTAATAATTTGTACATTGTTCAAAAATTCAGTGAATTTTTCACAAAGCAAAGCTATTTGTGACAGTTGACTTCTTAGGTTAAAGATATTTGGGGCAGTCCAGTTATTGCACTAGCTGTGAAATACTATGAAAATTTATAGTATGCTAAGAAATTCAGTTTTAAGATTATCTTCAATTAAAAAAATTGAAAAAAATTCTAGGTAAAATGGTATTCTTTGGAAAGCAACTTCTTTGAATGAATAAACGTATAGACATTGGTGGCAATACATAGAAAAATCTATGAAATATCAAAAAGAGGAAAATTTTCAAATGTCTATAGCATAAATTGACATAAGAAATAGGGTAGGGGCTCTAGCGGCTTAGTTGGTAGGGAGTTACACTATCAACCCAAAGGTAGGTGGTTCAAACCCACCAGTGACTCTGTGGAAGAAAGATTGACAATCTCCTGTGTGGTTAATTGGCAGCATCATGATAGATGGAGAAGAGATTGAGGTTGTTAACAATTTCAGCTTGCTCAGGTCCACAATCTTGGCACCAGTAGTCAGGAAATCAAAGGATGAATTGCACTGGGAAAACCTGCTGTCAGGGACCTCTCCAGAGTGCTAAAGAACAAGGATGTCAGCTTAGAGACTTAGGAGCACCTGATCTAATCCATGATCTTCACAATTACTTGCTATGTATCAAAGAGCTGGACAATGACCAAGGATGACAGAAGAATTGATGCCTTGAGGTGTGGTGTTGGAAAAGCATATTGAACATACCATAGACTGCCAAGAGAACAAACACGTCTGTCTGGGAGAGGGTGAAAGCAAGCTGCTTCCTGGAGGCACAGATTTTTGAACTCTATCTCACATGCTTTGGGCACATAGCCAGGAGGGACCAGTCTTTAAAGAAGGATATCATGCTTAGAAGGATCAAGGGACATCACAGAACTGAGAGATACCAGATGAGATGGTTTGACACAGTAAGTGGGGTAATGAAGGTAGGGTATCAGAGACAGTGAGATTGGCTCTGGATAAAGAAAGGTTAAAAGCTATTGTGCATAGGATCACTATGAGTCAAAGTTGACTAGACATCACATAACAATAGCCACAAATTTCCATTGAAGGATCAATTATGACTTGGTTCTGACTCAGTGGCAATGAGAAAAAAAAATAGTTAAAGTCCCAAATGATGCAATTTTTCTTTTGAAATGCTCAAGAAAATAGAAGACACATAAATGACTCATAGTCAACAGCACTTAACAACAACAAATAATGTTAAAATTTGTCTTCAAGTCTACAGAATCCTCCAGGGCCACCACAAGAAAAAGACTGATAACACAATAACAAAATGGGCAAAAGATATGGAAAGAATTTTCACAAAGGAAGATATTTAGATAGCCAACAGACACATTTTAAAAAGCTCAAAATCACTGGCAAGAAGAGAGATGCAAATCAAAATCACAATGAGATACCACCTCACTTCAGTAGCAGTGGTAACGTTTAACAGGACAGCAAGTAATAAATGTTGGAGAGGATGTGGCGAGATAAGAACTCAAATATACTGTTGGTGGGATTGTAAAATGGTACAATCACACCAGAAGGTAATTTGGTATTTCTTCAAAAAGATGAACATAGAAATTCCATATGACCCAGCTATTCCACTGCTCAGAATATATCCCGAGAAAATGAGAACTGAGGAACAAACAGAGACTTGAACACCACTGTTCATAGAAGTGTTATTCACCATCACAAGAATGTGGAAACAGCCCAGATTTCCAACAATAATCGAATGGATTAAGAAGTAGTGGTACATACACATGATGGAATCCTACACGGCACACAGGTGCAACAATTTTGTAAATTACTACCTAACTCAGGAGAGATTGGAGAGCATTACGCTAAGTAACTAACTCAGCCCCATAAGGACCATTAGTATTGAAATAGATAACTAGTAAAATGTGTGTGAGGATCTAAGAGGGAGAGAGAAGACCACAGGGGTGAGGATGGTAAGGATGGGGGGAACATAATCATTGGGTCACACAATTTGATGGGTGGAGGGAGGTGCGGGTTAAGGAAATGGGAAAGATCTGATGTGAAATACAGTATATATGGAATTTGCAAGGAAACCAGACTAAATAAAAAGTTTTAAAATAGTGGCTTCAATAAAAACATTAGCTAAATTATTGCATTTTATTGATTTAATATTGAATCTACTTCAATTAAAAAAATATTGTGGTTTTTTAACCCTTGACTATTAAAAGATGTGATATACTTATTTGGGATTATTGGAATAAAACATTTTAGGGCAGTTAATAAGCTAGTAAATATGCTAACACTTAATTTCGTTTCAATCTAACGTCATACTATCTATCATCGTTCAAAGTTAATTAGAACTACAATGTCTTGAGTTATATGTTGCTGTGGTCACAACTTTTTTTCTTTTTCCATAATACATTTCAATAGCAATATATTTAAATATATTTCTAAATCACAACCATAAAAAGAAATGCTTATAAGCCCACAAAACATAGATCTATAATACTCCTATTAAACCAGAAAAAACTTTCCAAAATTGCAGGGATGCATATAAACTGTACAAAATCAAGGAATATGTAAAGTAAACATTTTTTATTATAATTTTTTTAATGTTTGCCAGAATCTCTAGGACAGGACCACTCATGTGCTAGAGAAATCTACAAAGAAAAATTCCAAGGTGGTGTACCCTCTAATTTGTTCACCCTCTAATTTGGTTCATAAGGAATAAAAACTTACCTTTGAGCTCAGATGGGCAATCACAGGAATAACCGTGCAAACCACTAACACATCTGCCTTGGCCACATGGGTTAGGTTTGCAAACACTGATATCTACTTCACAAAGATCACCCTGAAAACCAGGCAAGCAGACACATAAGTTCCCGCCACTTCCTGAAGGAGAATTAATGTCAGACACACATGATCCGCCATTCAAGCAATCACAAGACTTCACAGTCACCTACATGAGATAGAAAAAGAAAATGCTTTACTTTGCAATTACATTCTCTTCAATTTATGCCCCTGCAATCATGACAAGCATGCATGTTTACAAGTAAGTGCAATAATAACAATCACACTTTTGCAAATTATTTTTTAAAATATATTTTCTAACATAGTCATTTCTAATAGCTTAAGGAAATAATTCTCTTTTGGAGGGGGCTGCTTAGAAAAATGGTGAAACAATTTCTTATATTCTTTGTGCATGTTACCAGGAGGGGCTAGTTGAAAAGGATATTGTGCTGGGAAAGGTGGAGGGTCAGAGAAAGAGAGGAAGACTCTCAACAAGACAGATTGACACAGTGGCTGTAACAATGGGCTGGAGC